GTTCTGGCCATTGTTAATGCTGCCATTACTGTTATAGTTGATGCTGCTGTTTTGCTACTATTGTTGTTGATGATGCTGTTGTTACTGCTACTGTTAATGTTACTGTTGCTGCTGCTGCTGTTGCTGCCATTGTTGTTGCTTCTGTTCCACCTGCTGCTGTTCCAGCTGCTGTTATTTATGCCCTTACTGCTATTGTTGCCATTGTGACTATTGTTGGTGCTGTTGTCAACGCTTCCGTTACTGCTGTTGTTGATGGTGCTGTTGCTGCTGTTGCTGCCATTTCTGTTGCTGCTGCTGTTACTGCCATTGATGATCCTTCTATGCTGGCTGCTATTTGTGGTTCTATAGTTGCTGCTGTTGCTGATTCTGCTGACATTGTTGTTAATGTTGTTGCTGCTGCTCTTATGGTCATTATTTATGTTGTTGTTATCATTGCTGTTACTGCTGCTGCCGTTGCTGATGTTGTTGCTGCTGCTGTTCTGGCTGCTTTTGGTGGTGCTACAGCTGCTGCTGCTGCTACTGCTGCTATTGCCATTGTTGTTGATGCTGCTGTTCTGAATGGTGGTTCTATAGCTGCTGTTGTTGCTGATGCTGTTATTGACATTGTTTTCGATGCTGTCATTGCTTTTGCTCTTATGACCACTATTGATGCTCCTGTTATAATTGCTATTGTTGGTGCTGCTGTTGCTGTTGCTGATGCTATTGCTGCTGCTCCTGCTGTTGCTGCCTTTGTTGGTGATGCTGCTGTTCTGGCTGCTGTTGATGGTTCTATGACTGCTCCTGCTGTTGCTGCTGATGCTGTTGTTGACATTGTTGTTGATGTTATCGTTGCTGCTGCTGTTATGGCCATTATTGATATTGCTGTTATAATTACTATTGTTGGTGCCGCTGCTGCTGAAGCTGTTTCTGTTTCTGCTGTTGCTGCTATTGTTGATTATGCTGGTGGTGTTGCTATTGTTGCTACTGCTGCTTTTGGTGTTGCTGCTATTATTGTTGCTGCTGATGGTGATGTTGCTGTTGCTGGTGTTGCTGCTGCCATTCTGGCTCTTGGTGGTATTATAGCTGCTGCTATTATTGATGCTGTTGCTATTGATGCTGTGGTTGCTGCCATTATTGATGCTGCTGTTGTTCCTACTATTGTTTATGTTAGAATTGTTGTTGTTGCTGGTAGTAGTAGTTGTGCTGCTGCTGTTGTTACCATTGTTGATTATATCATTGTTGCTGCTGTTGCTGCTGGTGGTGGTGGTGATGCCGCTATTGTTGATGTTACTGTTGTTACTGCTATTGTTGACTTTACTATTGTTGCCACTACTGTTGATGGTGATGTTGCTGCTGGTGATGTTGCAGTTGTTGCTGTAACTGCTATTGTTGATGCTACTGTTGTTGTTGCTCTTCTTGGTGCTGCTGGTGGTATTGTTGTTGCTGCCATTGTTGATGCTATTATTTATGTCATGGTTAGTAGTGCTGTTGTTGTTGCTGCTACTATTGTTACTGCTATTGTCAGTGCTATTGTTGTTCCTGTTATTGTTGGTGATGACAGTGCTGCTATTGTTGCTACTATTGTTGGTACTACTGTTGCTACTGCTACTGTTGTTGCTGGTATTAGTGCTATTGTTGGTGCTGCAGGTGCTACTGCTACTGCTACTGCTGCTGCTACTGTTGCTAGTGATTCTATTCCTGATGTTGCTGGAAGCAGTGCTGCTGCAGCTGTTGTTGCTGCTATTGTTGATGCTACTATTGGTGGTAGTAGTATTGCTGCTGCTGTTGCTACTAATGTTGCTGATGTTTTTGTTTTTGTTGGTGTTGTTCTGCTATTATTGCTGCTGCTGTTGGTGGTGCTGTTGCTGGTGCTATTGTTGGTTGGTGTTCTGTTGTTAGAGGTTCTGTTGTAGTAGTTGGTGGTGGTGCTGCTGCTGCTGTTATTATTGTAGTTGTTGCTTGTGGTGCTGCTGCTGCTACAGCTGGTGTTGTTGGTGGTGTTGCTGCTGCTGTTGCTGTTGTTGTTGTTGATTCTACTGTTGTTGCCACCACCACTGACACTGCTATCACTGTTGTTGCTGCTGTGGATGTTCCTATTCCTGCTGCTGTTGGTAGCAGTGCTGCTGCCGCTGTGGTTGCTACTATTGTTGATGCTACTGTTGGTGGTAATACTGTTGCTACTAATGTTACTGATGATTTTGCTTTTGTCAGAGCTGTTGGTGCTGCTACTGTTGTTGCTGCTGTTGTTTCTGATGCTGTTGTTGGAGGTGCTGTTGTTGCTGGTGGTGGTGCTGCTAATGTTGGAGGTACTGATGTTGTTAGTGGTGGTGCTGCTGCTGCTGCTGTTGGAGATGCTGATGTTGTAGTTGGTGATGGTGGTGCTGCTGCTACTGTTGGAGGTGCTGCTGTTGGTAGTGGTGGTGATGGTGCTGCTGCTGCTGTTACAATTGTTATTGTTGGTGGTGGTGCTACTGCTGCTGCTGCTGCTGCTGCTGCACCTGCTGTTGCTGTTATTGCCACCACCACCACTGCTGCTACTGTTGGTGTTGCTGCTGCTGCTGCTGTTGCTGCTGTTGTTCATGCTGATGTTGTTGCTATTGTTCTTGATACTGCTGCTGGTGGTATTGTTGTTGCTGTTACTCTTGATGCTGTCATTGGCACAACCATTGGTGGCACTGTTGTTGCTGATGATGCTATTGTTTTTTCTGCTGTTGTCACTGCTATTGTCAATGCTACTGTTGTTCCTGCTGTTGGTGGTGATGGTGGTACTGCTGTTGTTACCACTATGGTTGGTACTACTGTTTTTGCTGCTGCTCATGTTGCTGATTATAACACTGGTGTTGCTGTTATTGATTCTATTGGTGGTGCTTCTGCTGCTGTCACCACTGGTAATAGTGCTGCTACAGTTGTTGTTATTGCTACTGTTGATGCTACTACTATTGTTGCTGTTAGTGGTGGTAGTGATGTTGCTGCTGTTGATGCTGCTGCTCGTGTTGCTATTGCCACTGGTGGTGGTGCTGCTGCTGGTGCTGTTGCTTCTACTGTTAGTGGTGTTGCTGTTATTGCCATTGCGGTCATTGTCAATATTGCTGTTGTTGCTGCTATTCTTGATGGTGCTGGTGCTGCTGCTTCTAGTGGTGCTATTGTTGCAGCCACTGTTAGTGGTGCCATTGGTGCTCTGGGTGGTAGTGCTCTTGCCGATGCTGATGTTTCTGCCATTGTTATTGATGCTGCTGTTGTTTCTGCTGTTGTTACTTCTGCTAATGTTGCTGATTATGTTGCTCATGTTACTACTGCTATTGCTGCTGGTAGTAGTGCTGCTGACACTACTGGCACTGCTGCTGATAGTATTACTGTTGGTGGTACTGCTACAGTTGTTCCTGTGGCAGCTGCTGCTGCTGCTGCTGCTGTTATTGATGGTAGAGGTGGTGCTGTCGTTAGTGGTGCTGTTGTTATTGCTGCTGTTGTTACTGCTATTGCTGATGATAACATGGTGGCTGCTGCTTTTGCTGCAAATATTACTGCTGCTGGTGGTGATATTGATGTTGGTGGTACTGGTACTATTGTTGTTGCTGCTGTTACTGCCATTATTGTGACTGCCATGTGTGCAACTCTTGGTGGTGCTGTTGCTGCTGTTGATTCTGTTTTTGTTGATGATGCTGTTGTTACTGCTATTGTCTACACTGCTGTTGTTCTTGCTACTAGTTTTCCTTATTGTATTGCTAGTATTACTGCTATTGCTGCTGCTATCATTGCTGCTGCTGCTGTTGTTGCTGCTTTTGCTGCTGCTGCCATTGTTGCTCCTACTTTTCCTCCTGCTGCTGCTACTGTTGCTGCTAATGATGCTGATGATAATACTCTTGGTAGTGCTACTGTTGCTCTTGTTGCCACTGTTGCTATTGTTTCTGGTGCTGTTAGTGATGCTATTGCTGTTGGTAGTCTTGTTATTGCTGCTGTTGTTGTTGATTCTGCTATTGTTGCTGCTGTTGGTGATGGTCCTGTTGTCTGTGGTGCTGCTCTCAGTGATGGTGCTGTTGCTGATGCTATGGCTGCCATTGATGTGGATGCTTTTGATGTTACTGCTATCGTTAATGCTGTTGGTGGTGCTGCTGCCTTTGTTGCTGCTATCATTGCTGATTATGCTGCTGTTATTGCTTCTGATGTTGCTGCTGCTTTTGGTGATGCTATTGTTGCTTCTGGTGCTGCTGTTCTTGTCAGTGATGCTGCTGCTGTTGTTGTTGTTGCTGGTGCTGCTGCCGCCACCATTATGGGTACAGAAACTCTGAAAGCTTGGCAGATTTGATTGCCCCTCCACCTGGAGTCTGAGAGGACTGCAGTGTTTCTGGATGATTTGGTGGGTTTCTGCTAACTTCATCTTAGATTGGACTGGTCTAAACACTGAGGCAGGACTGACCCTGTCCAGATGGGGGAATTCTGTGGGGAGCTGGGTGCCTAGGATGGCCCACACCTGATTCAATATTACTATGAACAGTAGCATATCCAGAGGACATAGATGAGAACAATACACTGAAGAAAACAACATTTTTCCAATGAGTATCAGCAAATACTGAAATGTATAGAGGTAAAATGGTTAAAAAAAACACTGAGAAAAATCTTAATTGCATTCTCACTCATAGAACTATCAAAAAGTAAATGAATGTTGGTTATCAAATTTTATTTGACAACTAATAGTAATGGATTTTGGAAACCATCATCTAACTAATATAAAATTGAATTTAATCTTTAGCCACATTATCTGCTACAAGATAGTGAAATACCCTAAGAAGGGGCCTTAGTTATGCCAGTTCTACTTCTAGAGAAGAGTTTTAGGTACACCTCATTGTACTATACCAAGCTCTGTCCATTTTCTTTATGAAACTCACCATTCAGAACATGTTTTTCAAAACTAATCCTGAGAAAAATTTATAACTATGTTTTGTTTAATTTATATCCATTTTACTTTGATTTTCAACCTCCCCATAATTCCTTTATCTCCTCTTCAATTTCATTTCTTATGGCAGACCAAGAAAATATAAAGAAAATATGATTTACCTCCAAGTCAAGAAACCAGACATTCCACTAAACTAAGGAGAAAGACCTTGACTCCTGCTACAACCTTGCTTTGATGCTGCCAAGACCAGAAGCAGAGATTTCTTCACTCATCACAAAGCCCATGCAATTCACCCATACTTACCCTTGAGCTCTCTCAACCTAGAGCAATAGCCAATTGACTTTTTTGCACTGCTCTGTAAAAATCACTCTACAGACTGGATACTGCCAAGCCCTTCCAGTTCACACTGTCCTTGGAACTCCAAGGCCATTGGATTGCTTGAATTTTTTCACATATTTGTATTTCTTTATTTGTTTCCTTTCCCACAATGACATCAAACCAGAATACATAGGGGAACTGTGGGTGAGGGAAACCAAATAGAAAAGATCTGAAAAAAAAATAAAGTTAGGAGAAAAGAGTCTATTTCCTTTATGCAATAAAAGACCCAAAGTCCAGAATGTATATCAAGGCCTTTGAATGGGGTCTTTCAGTGATAGGTAATAAATTTTAAATACACTGATCATTACATGAGTTAGACTTGAAGGGAATGTCAAAAGCATTAGAGTACAGCTTGAGGAATCGCAAAGTCCTTTTATATTTGGATGGATAACTACAAATGTGTGCTTTCTATAAAAGATCTTGAGAAAAGTTAAACAAAGAACATTGTTGGCATTATTAAAGCATAGGCAGTAATTTTTCACTGAAGTAATATTCACTGAAGTAATATTTGAACTTCAAAAAATATATTAATATTTTATCAAAGTAATATAGTAAATATAGCTCTGAAAGCTAAAAACTATTAGACCTGTATAAAAAGCAAAATTTCTTTGACATATTCTACTTCTACCACCCCTTCTGAAAAAGCTTGCAACTACGAAATTTTCAAACTGAAATCTATTCCATATAAAGTACCCAAATAACCCCTTTCTATTGATGTTTTTTATTTTTCAGTTTTAATATTTCCTTATTGACTTTCTAGTGCAAAAGATGCAGATTTATCTCTCTTCACCTCTTGAATAATCCAAAAACACAACTCTTCTCTTCCCTTTGAACTTTGTTTTGTAACATACTAATTAAATCAAATAATCAACACTGGCATCATCATAGTATGTAACTGTTAATGAAGCCTGAGCCACATAGTATTCTTATGATTATGCTGCCTTTCTGTCATGACATTTTGCTTTTCCAGAATCTTATTTTTTATTGCCTCACTTTCTATATAGTCCTCATTTCATTCATTCCTCCCCAAACTCTCTGACAAAACAATAAATGTGCCCTCAGTATATTCAAGCACACTCACACACTGGCTCATTTTCTTTCCTTTTCCCCTGGAGATCTCACATCTGGAGCCACCAGTCTGCCCACACTAGTTTGGCCTGGCGGATCTCCATGCTGCCTGAGCAGCAACTGGCCTGAGTTCTCCTTTCCCTCTTCCTGAGCATGCTGATTGCCTCTTTCTGGTGTTGAATCCTCTGTCTGCTGGACCCCAAACCACCTTCTTTCTTGGTTTTCTCCATCATTTTAAAAAAACACATCTACTGTCTTTTTGTCCATTTTTCCATTGCTATAAGAAAATAGTTAAGCTGAATACTTTATAAACAAAGAAAGTTTATTTTACTCACAGTTTGGAAGACTAAAAATCCAAGCAGCACATCACCAGTCTGGCAAGGACTCTCCTGATTACATCACATCATGGTAGATGGCATCATGCCACATACATAGGTGAGAGGGACAGAGCACACAGTGAGAGAGCAGGGAAAGCGGTCTTTCTCTTTTATAGCAATGCTCCCATTAGAACTAACCACTGTCCCAAGAGAACTACCCTAATTTCTTCTGAAGGCAGCAACCCTAGTGTCCTAATTACTTCTTACAAGCTCCCACACCCAACTTTTAGGTGTGGGGTCCCCTCTAACACCACTACACTGGGGACCAAGATTGTAACATGTGAAAGTTTGGGATTCACTCAAATCATAGCAAGAGTCCACACCTGTCTCTGTATTCTCTTCTGTAACACTGGGTGTTAAAACCTCTAAACTACATTTCCCAGGCTCTTTATCCCTTGGCTTCTTCTAAGGCTCTATCAAGGAATAGCACCATTTTCTTTACGCCATGAAGGAAGCTTAGCAGCTGCTGTGACCATTGCTGGTCACCACAGCTAGTGGGATGGAGGTCCCCAATCCTCAGTGGCAGTTCTACAGTTGTAGCAGCAGCACCAGTGGCAGCAAAAGTGTCCCTGCCTACATCACAATATGAACAGGCCCTTGGGCTCCAGCCAGGAAAAACTGCCACTCTCTGGTCTTTGTGTGGTCTTCCCTTTTCTCTCTCCAGCGCATCTTTCTCTCTTCTTCTCAAACAATTGTTTTGTAAACAAGTATCTGTATTAAATGACCTTTACTTGAAATACCAATTGATTGTGCTCTTCGGATGATTAATTACTGATCACATTGCTCTACTTGGTACCATGGTAGTCCAGGAAATAGATATCTGAATATGAGAACCTGGTTAGATGTGATTGGACTGAACATACTGATAGCCTTATTGTGAATGGGAAAAGAAGGCAACACTGGATTAAGTGCCAATACTGATGGCATCTATTACAGGCAAAATACTATTTAAATTATTAGCTGTGATTACCTGCAATGAAGCAATGATACAGAAGCAGATGTTAGGAGGCCAAAGTGATGTCAAATTTGACCACCAGCGTGGGAATTATGACAACAAAAACTAGCATACAGTAAGGCTTGTTACTTCTGATTGTACTGGAGAATTTATTTTAAAAAATGGAAACTTTAAAACTTTGTAATATCAAGTCAGGCACTGTTAGAGAAAAAGAGAGCTCCTTATCATGGTAGTAAAAGAAATTCCTGAGTTTTGTGGGGGCAAAGTTGAAAAGCTGGCTCTAGATTTGATCCACTGGGCTATAGAATCTCATCACAGGTTTAATTCATAGAATAATTTGGTCTTTTAAATGGATAGGGAGGATAGGACTCCTGAGAATTGAAATCAAGGCATTGGATGGATTCAAATGAACACACAAATCTTGAACTTCCACATGCTCTGAGCCTTCTCTGCCAAAAGATGCAGCCTTTCTTTTTCTTTTTCCCTTCCTTTTTCTTTTTCTGTTTGAGAAAATAAAAATCTTTCATGGCTTGAACACTTTTAATAACCTCATCTAAGGTAGGTACTTGGAGAGAAGGTGCCAGGACTCCCCAAGACCTCCTACTCGGCCACATCACTCAGTATGGCCTCCCAGTGTTTGGAGTGGGTCCCTGCATCTATCTCAAGGGGAAAAGTCAAAAATCTGATAGGGAAGATACTACTGACACATTAAAAGAATTTTAAGATATTGTAACTTATATCAGCAGAAATCAAGAGAGAGGAACCTGAGCATGGTGGCTCACACCTCTATTTCTAGCACTTTGGGAGACTGAGGCAGAAGGATTGAAAGTTTGAGCCCATCCTGGGTGTGTTAGTTACTCTTCTCTTGTTGCTGAGACAAAATACGAAACATCCAAAGTTAAAGAGTGAAAGGTTTATTTGGCTTATAGTACATAGAGGTTTCAGTCCATAATCAGCTGGCTCCAAGGCAGAGTGGCAGAGGAGCAACAGTTCATGGCAGTGGAAGACAGCAAAAGCAAGCAAGAAAGAATCTTAACAGTGTCTTTCTGCTCTTTTTATCTCATTCAGACTACTTAGGATGTGTAGCTCTAATCCTACTTCCCTCAGGTCTAGTCCCAATATGAATCAATCACACACTCTAGATTCAGACACCTCCAAAATAGCCCCACTCATTTGCATGAGACCTGGGGGGGTCACCTAAACACAAGCCATAACACTGGTCAATTTAGCAGCTCAGAGAGACCCTATCTCAAAACAATAAATAAAAAGAGCGGGGGATTTTCAATCCTCAGTACCTCAAACAAAGCAGGCAGGCAACATTTGGGGGTAAATAATAATACGGCTAGACCACAGAGGGTCAGGTTTATTGACAAGCCTCCTGACCCAAGAATCTAGATTTAATATGGTAGCTGAAGCAACCGGCATCAGCTCCAGTGCAGGTGCCCCTTACTCATGAAGTTACCTCCTGATAGACTCATTGTAAATTGAACTATCATTAAAAAAAAAGTGTCAACTACACCATAGCTCACCAGCACAGCACACTGTAGAGTACTGGGTTTCTTCCTTTGAAGATCTTGGGGCTGACTGGGAGCTGTGGCTTGCTGCTGCTGCTGCTGCTCAGAGTTACAAGTATGATCTCTACTGAATGTGTATCACTCTCAACCCAGCAAAAAGCTGAAAAATTAATTAAACCATTATTAGTCAAGGATCACTGGTAATTTGTAGTTAAACCAACAACTTTCAAAAACATAGGGGAACATTAAGCAAGAATAAAATCCAGGAGACGTAAAGCAAAAGACTGATCAATTTGACTACACAAAACAAGAATTAAAAAAACAAGAATAAATTGTGCTCACTTTGGCAGCACATACACAAAACAGGACTAGATTAAATAAAGCTAACAGTGTCTCTCTCTCACACACATACACACACATACACACACTCCAAGTGGAAATTTGACATGAGCAACAGATATGGAAAAATATTTTTACTACATATATAAAATCCAAAAGACTATTAACATTTCTTAAAATTTATTTTAAAAATAAAGAGCTACTAAAATTCAATAAGGAAAATATAGTCAAGTGAGGGGAGGGGAACAGTCCAGAAATACAAATAGTTATTTATCAAAGATAACATAAAAATAGCCAATCATATTATTTAAAAGATGTGCATTCTCGTTAATCAAGGAAATACAAATTATAATAACACTGAAAATTTTCACTCATAGGATTAATAAAATTGATAATAACAAGTATGAACAAGGGTGTGAAGAAACTTTCATACATTTCTGGCAGGAGTATGGATTGACTCATTCTTTTAAGAAGACAGTTTGTCAATGTCGGTATCACACATATGCATGTCTGTAACCCAGTAATTTCATCCCTGGTATTTCTCTTTAAAAGACAGAAATACACACATAAGCCATTTGAGAGGTCTTTGTTCCATCACTTATGGACGACAGCAAAAATAAGGAATAACAAAAGTCTGCAAATATGAGGAATGCGTACATAAACCATGGTCTATCCACTCATCAGTTTAGAGGGAAGGAAAATATTTATAGATGCATCATAAAAACCTTTTAAGATGAGTTTTAGAATAATAATGCAGGAACCATGTGATGCTTATCTAACTGATAGCCAACAGAGAAGAGGTCAGGGCCTAGATAGCAGATATGAAGGGACTTTAAAAAATGTTTTGTAGTCATTGCATTTTTATGTTTTCATGTGCATGTTCACATCCCATGTTCATGTTATCTTTGAAAATAAATGATTAACCCTGGAAAATAGTTCTGCAGTATCTTTTAAAACTAAGCTCTTACCATATAACCCAGCAATTTTACTTGTCAGCATTTATCCCACAGAAATGAAAAAAATGTGTCCACAAAAATCCTGTAAACAATCGTTTGTGGCAGCTTATCTGTGATAGCTGAAAACTGAAAAGAACCAAAATATCCTTCAGTAGGTTTCAAAGTAAAGTAAAATATAAAGCAGGCTTGAGGAATTTCTGAGCAAAGTCACTTCTCACTGAACCTTGCTCAGTTTGGAAGCATAAATCAAACTTAAACTGAGCTATTTCTTGTAAATGCCTATAAAGTATGAAAACAGAATTTAGGTGCAATCAATCAGAAGCAGCCAACAAATTTGTAACTATGTCACTAGGGTCTTTCAACAGAATAGACTGCATAGGCCACTGTAGTAACTGTGACTAACCAAAAAAATTTTTTATTACTTCTGCATTCACACTACGAAAACCTGTCCCTTATGCTTCGTTCATGGAACCCAAGACCTAAATTGGAGCTGCCCAATCCGTAAATCATTGTTTGCTCAAATTGACTCTAACATTTTAATGTGCCTTGCTTTACCTTGTAACAAGGTGAGTGGCAAAGAAACCGGTGTATCTAAACCAACGATACTACTGGAAAGAAAAAGAGGCAAATTATAGAAAACATACACAGAATGGATCTCAAGGATGTTATCCTGAGTGATAATGGCCAATCTGAAAAGGTTTTTTTGGTTCATTTTGGGTTTTGTTCATTTTGTTTTGTTTTACAATTATGGTTCCTTTAAAGCAAAGCTAGAACTCAAAAGCTTGAACCACTGGATGTGGTGGCGCATCCCTGTAATCCCAGCACTTGGCAGACTGAGGCAAGAGGATTACTATGAGTTTGAGGCCAGCCTGGACTATGTAATGACTTCAAGGCCAACCTGAACTACACCGCAAGACCCTATCTCAATAAAGTAATCCCCCTGGGGCAGGGGATGTAGCTCAGTGGTGCTGTGCCTGCCTGGCAAGCGCAAGGTCCTGAGTTTGATCCCAGGTACCAATAAATAAATAAATTAATTAATTAATTAATTAAATGTACCAGTAAATGTTTAAAAAAAAACACCACCACCCCCCAAAAAAACCACTTAAACACAATCTAAATCCAAAACTTCAGACTTTTACTTTCATATTTGATCTGTTCACATTTAATTCAATAATTTTGAATGGTTCATATTTATTGGACATTAAGAAAGTATTTAGTTTACTTAAATTACAATTGCATTTATATTTCATCTGGTTACATAATAAATGTGAATTGAAGTTCTCCAGAAAAGCAAAATTTTTATTTCAGAGCTTTCAAACTGTTTGATCTTCAATAACTGGAGGATTGTGACTCTGTAGAGAGATGGAATGTTGCAGATCAAAAAGCCAGGGCTCCAGGGACTTAGGGCAGGTGTGTTAGAGGTTCCTAAAAAGCAACAGTTCTTAGTGCTAGGCACCTGCTCTGAGTCTGGATCCTTAGATCTTGTGGACACATCTGTCAATGGAATTGTACTTCAATGACAAAATGATTATTATGATGTATTGATAAGAAGAAGTCTGAAAAAGCCCATGTTCATATTTTCCTTGCCTGTTTTGTAAGGCATCTCCCATCCCCAGAAAAATCACAAGCTACCCATAAAGTGCATGTTCAGTGACCATTTTTATATCAGGCCCAGGGACACCAGGAAGAGCAAGGCAGACTCCCTGAGCTCCCAGAGCTCAGTCCAAGGGGACACAATTCTAACACTGTACACCAAAAGGCTGAACTAGAGCTATGTTGCTGTCACATCACACTCTGAGCACAGGCCAGGATGAGTGTTGTATGGATCTTTTCTACCCTGTTATAACGCATAATAATGTGGAATAATAAATAATGCTAGCATTTCACTAGGCCCTGGGACATGATAAACAATTTGGAAATGAGTTTTGTTTTCACAGGGGGACAGATAAAGGGAAATGAATGATGTTAACTGTATGATC